TCAGTCCCATCTAAGCTGTGATGGCCATGACTCAAATTCAAAATTCCAAAGAATATGTACATGAGAGTCACTCCAGCAAAATGCATGTTCTCTAACACTAACTGGGGCTGGTGGTGAAACCACATGGTGAGCACTGGGACATAATGGTTTAAATGTGGCCTTGGCCAAGTTACTTAACCTAACCTTAAATAAAATGGAAACAATATTTGTTGAATATCAAATGACATAATTCATGTAAAGCATGGAATGAGTACTGAGTAAATAGCATTATTATTATTATTATTATTATTATTATTAACTGGGCTGGGCCAAAAACGAGAACCCCTTGTTCTCAGATAGGAAGACACAGATAGGAAGACATTCCTGAAGCAGAAGTATTATCTGTGTTGTTTTAGAAGACCAAAAACAGGCTGGGCGTGGTGGCTCGTGCCTGTAATCCCAGCACTTTGGGAGGCCAAGGTGGGCAGATCTCTTGAGGTTAGAAGTTCAAGACCAGCCTGGCCAACACGGTGAAACCCCGTCTCCACTAAAAATACAAAAATTAGCCGGGTGTGGTGGCAGGCGCCTGTAATCCCAGCTACTCAGGAGGCTGAGACAGGAGAATCACTTGAACCTGGGAGATGGAGGTTGCAGTGTGCAGAGATCAAGCCACTGCACTCCAGCCTGGGCAACAGAGCAAGACTCCGTCTCAGAAAAAAAAAGAATGCCAAAACAAAGGCATCAGGCCTTGAGCTCTGTTTTTTTCCTTCAACTTTTATTTTGAGGGAAACATATGCAGGCTTGTTATACAGGTAAATCGCACGTGGCTGAGGTTTGGTGTCCGAATGATCCGTCGCCCAGTTAGAGAGCAAGGTACCTCATAGGTAGTTTCTCAACCTTCATCCCGGTCTCACCCTCCCCTGTCTAGTGGTGCTCAGTGTCTATTGTTCCTCTCAGGCCTTGAGTTTCTAATTGCCTATGGTATGCTTTATTTTGTAGAGGTCCTGCTTGAAGCTTTGTTCCTCACCGTGGATCCTTACATGAGGTATTATTTATTTCCCCCCTCAAAATGCTAATGCTGTGTCAAATGCTATTTGGAAGTATTTCATCTTTTAAAATATCCAACTGACTTAAAACATTGTCGCTTTCCCTCTGTTTCTTGCAGCCAGTATCAGTGATGGGATTCATGTACATTCATCTTTTGCAGGCAAAGGTCTGAGTAGCTTAGTGAGGGATCACCTCGGTTCCTTTGTCCCAACCATCTCCTATCTGCCCTGCACAATTTGCCTTTCACTGCTCAACAGAATTACTTCCAGAAAAAAAAGAAAAAGAAAAAAAAACCTTAAAAGAAAAAAATAAAAAATAAAGCCTGGGCAACATGGCAAAACCCTGTCTCTACTAAAAATACAAAAAATTAGCTGGGCGTGGTGGCGCATGCCTATCGTCCCAGCTACTCAGGAGGATGAGGCAGAAAGATCACTTGAGCCTGGGAGGCAGAGGTTGCAGCGATCCGAGATCGTGCCACTGTACTCCAGCCTAGGTAACGGAGTAAGACCCTGTCTCATAAAGAAAAAAGAAGCCAAACCCAAATTTGTCTCTTTCGCTACTGGCAAATAATTTGGATAGAGGAAGATGCTAAGACTAAAATCAGCTTTTCTGGCCTTCCATTTACCTGTGTTCTTTTAATGTAGGTAAATCTGCAGTTGACTCAAACTTATATACTCAGCAAACAACTCAGGGAGGGGAGGAAATCAAAAGGCTTTATTGACCACTAAGTCCTCAGTATTTTTTTGCCCAGGTAAATAACATAGCCATCATTCTGTTACATTTTTTTCATAGCTCATTGATAAAGATTCAAATCTGAAGAGGAAAATACAGTTTAAAAATGTTAATTGGCATCTTTTTGTGTAGCTAGTGTTTTGGGTAATAACCACCCAGTGGTGCCTGGCTTATATTTTTTAAGTCATTGGTAGAAATTCATCTTTACTTGAACATGGCGGTAAGACTTTTGTGTTCACTCGTTAAAAAATCCAATCGGGGTGCTTATCTGAGGTCACAGAGCAGAACTTCCTCTAACAGCTTTCCTCCTGCATCTCACCTAGTTGTAGCCCTTCATCTGTCTGGGTTTTATTGCCGCATACACTTACCCAGCAGTTTTCCATTAGCTTGAAACTCAAAACAGTCCCCCGACGCTCTTATGTGTTAAGAATGGAATTTTTTTTTTTTTTTTTTTCAGATTTTTAGCCAAAACATTGAAAGAAGGTGATAGAATGATGGGGCAGCAAGTGGCCAGGTAATTATTTCCATTTGTCCCAATGCTTGGAAAATATGTCTCCTCTTTACCTCCTGCTGGGTCCTGTCTCTGTCCATCACTCCTACAATTTCTTCAGCCTGTGTGGTTCACTCACTGTGTGATCTTAGAATCAACTTGGGAAATCTTGTTCCCTTCCTGACTAGCTGGAAAGGAGGGAAGGGTGTGAAATCAGCTTCACTTTGCCATCCTTACTTTTAATTACTTAAAAAAAAAAAAAAGTATTCGTCCAGGTCATGATTATTGTAAAAATTCAAATAAAACAAAAATTTTTATCTTGGAAATTGAAAGTTCCCCCGTCATCTGAACCTTAAGGCAACTATTGTTAATATATTATTATTTCAAAAATTGTGGGCCAGCACAGTGGCTGATGCCTGTAATCCCAGCACTTTGGGAAGCCAAGGTGGGCAGATTACTTGAAGTCAGGAGTTGGAGACCTGCCTGGCCAACATGGTGAAACCCTGTCTCTACTAAAAATATAAAAATTAATTGGGTGTGGTGGTGCATGCCTGTAATCCTAGCTACTCGGGAGGCTGAGGCAGGAGAATCGCTTGAACCTGGGAGGCGGAGGTTGCAGTGAGCCAAGGTTGCACCACTGCACTCCAGCCTGGGCGATAGAGCAAGAGTCCATCTCAAAAAAAATAAAGAAAGAAAAGAAAAAGAAAAAGAAAAATTGTTCAGTGCACATACTTTTATATATAAATTTCGCTTTATTTTTTTGTTATTATTCTTTTGAGACAGAGTCTTGCTCTTGTTGCCCATGCTGGAGTGCAATGGCACAATCTTGGCTCACCGCAACCTCCACCTCCCAGGTTCAAGCGATTCTGATTCTTCTGCCTCAGTCTCCCGAGTAGCTGGGTTTACAGGCATGCACCAGCACACCCCGCAAATTTTGTACTTTTAGTAGAGATGGGGTTTCTTCATGTTGGTCTGGCTAGTCTAGAGCTCCTGACCTCTGCTGATCCTCCCGCCTCAGCCTCCCAAAGTGCTGGGATTACAGGCATGAGCCACCACACCCGGCCTATATATGAATTTTAAATGGAATTATATGCCCTTCAGAAAACTGCTTTCTCTCAATTAGTATGTTAAGGATATATTTTATTGACAGTATATAAATATACCACCTACCTTTTAATAGCTGCAAGTTATTTTATTATATTCCACTATTTAACTAATCTACTACTGATAACAACTGTTTTCAATTTTTTCTATGACAAATAATTCTTGAAGGAGCATGTATGTATTTATATGTGTGTATCTGTGTATTCTTTGCCTTCTTGGATGAGTATTGCTTTACATTAAATTCCCAGAAGTATAAATTCTAGACCCAAAGAAATGTATATTTTTAATCTGAAAAGATGATGACAAATTGTTCTTCAGAAAAATTTTATGAAGGCCAGACGCAGTGGCTCATGCCTGTAATCCCAGCACTTTGGGAGGCCGAGGCAGGAAGATGACTTGAGGTCAAGAGTTTGAGACCAGCCTGGCCAACATGACAAAACCCCATCTCTACTAAAAATACAAAAATTAGCCAGGTGTGGTGGTGGGCATCTGTAATCCTAGCTATTCAGGAGGCTGAGGCATGAGAATCGCTTGAACCCAGGAGGCAGAGGTTGCAGTGAGCTGAGAACACACCTCTGCTCTCCAGCCTGGGCAATAGAGTGACACTTGGTCTCAAAAAAAAAAAAAAAAA